ATTTCTGTGGGATTGGTGGTGGTATCCCCTTTATCATTTTTTATTGCATCTATTTGATTCTTCTCTCTTTTCTTATTTATTAGTCTAATCTTTTTTCAAGGTTTTTAGCTTCTTTGCAATAGGTTCAAACTTCCTCCTTTTACTTGGAGAAGTTTGATCATCTGAAGCCTTCTTCTCTCAATTCGTCGAATTCATTCTCTGTCCAGCTTTGTTCCATTGCTGGCGAGGAGCTGTGTTCCTTTGGAGAGGAAGAGGTGCTCTGATTTTTAGAATTTTCAGCTTTTCTGCTCTGTTTTTTCCCCCATCTTTGTGGTTTTATCTACCTTTGGTCTTTGATGATGGTGACATACATATGGGGTTTTCCTGTGGATGTCCTTTCTGTTTGTTAGTTTTCTTTCTAATAGTCAGGACCCTCAGCTGCAGGTCTGTTGGAGTTTGCTTGAGGTCCACTCCAGACCCTGTTTTCCTGGGTATCAGCAGCGGAGCCTGCAGAAAAGTGAATATTACTGAACAGTAAATGTTGCTGTCTGATCGTTCCTCTGGAAGCTTCATCTCAGAGGGGTACCCAGCTGTGTGAAACATCAGTCTGCCCCTACTTGGGAGTGCCTCCCAGTTAGGCTACTCGGGGGTCAGAGACCCACTTGAGGAGGCAGTCTGTCCATTCAGATCTCAAACTCCATGCTGGGAGAACCACTACTCTCTTCTAAGCTGTCAGATAGGGACATTTACATCTGCAGAGATTTCTGCTGCCTTTTGTTTGGCTATGCCCTGTCCCCAGAGGTGGAGTCTACAGAGGCTGGCAGGCCTCCTTGAGCTGCGGTGGACTCCACCCAGTTGAGCTTCCTGGCCACTTTGTTTACCTACTCAAGCCTCTGCAATGGTGGGTGCCCCTCCCCCAGCCTCACTGCCACCTTGCAGTTAGATCTCAGACTGCTGTGCTAGCAATGAGGGAGGTCCTGTGGCATAGGACCCTCTGAGTCAGGTTCAGGATATAATCTCCTGGTGTGTCATTTGCTAAGACCCTTGAAAAAGTACAGTATTAGGGTGGGAGTGACCCAATTTTCCTGGTGCTGTGTGTCATGTTTTCCCTTGGCTAGGAAAGGGAATTCCCTTACCCCTTGTGCTTCCTGGGTGAGGTGATGCCTCGCCCTGCTTTGGCTCTCACTTGGTGGGCTGCACTCACTATCCTGCACCCACCATCCAACACAGCGCAGTGAGATGAACCCGGTACCTCAGTTGGAAATGCAGAAATCACCCATCTTCTGTATTGCTCGCTCTGGGAGCTGTAGCCTGGAGCTGTTCCTATTTGGCCATCTTGGAACAACCCTCTTTCAGTTTAAATATGTCATTCAATCTCCCAATGCTTTTATAGCTTCTTTTAATAGTTTGTCATAATTCTTACTGTTGTTCCTTTGAGTATGATGTGCGTGTGTGAGTTTCTCTGCTTTTTTTTTTATTTGGCTTGGGATCTTGTAACCTTGAATGTGTTTATTGAGGACTTACCAGTTTTAGAAAAGTTTTAGTCACTATACCTTAAGATATTTATTCTATCTACACTCTCCTCTTTTTTTTTTTTTTTTTGAGTTTTAACTACATTATATTTTACACCATTTGATTGGGTTGTACAAGTATCCTATGATCTGATCTGTATTCCTAATTTTTTTCTCTGTCTGTGCTTTAGTTTAGACAATTTATATTGATGTGTATTTGAGTTTACCAATCCTGTCTTCTTCTTTGTCTCATATACTCTTAAATTTTCTTTATAAATTCTTACTATATTTTCAGAGTTTGTGGGTTTTTAGAAATCCAGTTGTTTCTATTTTTATTCATTTAATTTATCTTAAAATATTTTGTGTTAAATGATTTTTCTTTTAAAAATTTCTTTCACCTATTAATCACATTTTTGAAGTATTTTTCTAACTTCAATATGTAGATTTTCTATGGGTATGCTTTATTTTGTGAATTTTTACTATTGATTGTACTTTCTGACTCTTTGCATATGAATAAATGGATCATAGAAACTGAAAAGGGCATTACTTTCCACAGGGGAGGGTTTTGCCTTTTCCTGCAGGCAGAGAGGGATGAGGTACTGATTGTATTAATTCAATTCTTAATTGAGTTATTATTGGCTTGGTTTATAGATAGACCTCATTTTCTTCTACTCATCGCTGTTTCTGGTGTGTGGACTTCCAAGGTTTTGATTACGAGGCTGGTCTCTTGTTCTCTGTCTCTCTCACCCGATCTAGCCCATTAAACATGAAGGACATTAAATTTTAACTCTTTGGAGGTGTGAACTCAGCTGCATTTCCCATAGCATCTTCAAATTGCAGTAAATATTTTTTCTTTTTAAACTTGAATAATTGAATTTTATTAGTTTTCCCAGGATTCTATTCCTTTGAAATATTTAACCTATAACAATATAAAGGATAAATTTATGTTTTTAGTTCAAAGTTATGCTTTTTTTGTTGTTTTTTGTACTTGAAGTTGTGGGATACATGTGCGAAAGTGCAGGTTTGTTACATAAATATACATGTGTCATGGTGGTTTACTGTACCCGTCAACCTATTATCTGCATTAGGTGTTTCTCCTAATGCTATCCCTCCCCTAGTCCCCTATACCCTGACAGGCCCCAGTGTGTGATGTTTCCCTTTCTGTGTCTATGTGTTCTAATTGTTCAATTCCCACCTATGAGTGAGAATATGCATTGTTTGGTCTTCTGTTCTTGTGTTAGTTTGCTAAGAATGATGGTTTCCAACTTCATCCATGTCCCTGCAAAGGACATGAACTCATCCTTTTTTATGGCTGCATAGTATTCCATGGTGTATATGTGCCACATTTTCTTTACCCAGTTTATCATTGATGGGCATTTTGGTTGGTCCCAAGTCTTCCCTATTGTGAGCAGTGCCACAATAAACATAGGTGTATAAGTGTCTTTATAGTAACTAGAATGATATACAATTCTTTGAGTATATACCCAGTAATGGGATTGCTGGGTCAAATGGTATTTCTAGTTCTAGATGCTTGAGGAATCGCCTCACTGTCTTCCACAATAGTTGAACTAAATTACTCTCCCATGAATAGCATAAAAGCATTCCTACTTCTCCACATCCTCTCCAGCATCTGTTGTTTCCTGACTTTTTAATGATTGCCATTCTTACTGGCATGAGATGGTATCTCATTTTGGTTTGGATTTGCATTTCTTTAATGACCAGTGATGATGAGCTTTGTTTCATATGTTTGCTGGCTGCATAAATGTCTTCTTTTGCAAAGTGTCTGCTCATATCCTTGGCCCACTTTTTGATGTGATTGTTTGGTTTTTTTCTTGTAAATTTGTTTAAGTTCTTTGTAGATTCTGGATATGAGCCCTTTGTCAGATAGATACATTGCAAAAATTTTCTCCCATTCTGTTGGTTGCCTGTTCACTCTGATGATAGTTATTTTTGCTGTGCAGAAGTTCTTTAGTTTAATCAGATCCCATTTGTCTATTTTGGCTTTTGTGCCATTGCTTTTGGTGTTTTAGTCATGAAGTCTTTGCCCATGCCTATGTCCTGAATGGTATTGCCTAGGTTTTCTTCTAGGATTTTTATGGATTTATATCCCACATGATCTGTTCTACTATTTTGATTTTTTTCTCCTTCCTCTGTTTACTCCAGTTCTGTCCTTTTGGTTGTTTTATAAGCAATCCAGGGTACTTCCTACCTCTTGGGATTTGTTCTTGGCTATACCCTTTTTCCAGAAAGCTCTTCCTTTAGAAATTTGAATGGGTCAGATTCTTACATCGTATTTTTTTATCTCTTAAAAGTTTCATCATACTAGTGACACAAGTTCAAAATCTGTGTCATTGTAAACACTTTTCTCTCAAAATCAAAACCAAAACCACAGTCTAATGATTTCTGAAGTCCTTTTGATGCTTTTCATTAGTTTTCTCTTAAATATGTCTCTTTCTCTCTGTTACTCACCTGTAGCACTTCTTATCTGTCTCATAGTATTTTTTTCCCTATAGGTTCAGAGTAATTTTTCCCAACCTGTTTTTTTACCTTCAAATATTTTGACAGCAATGGAATCATGGAAACTTTCCCAAAGCATATAATTCACATTTCATTTAGAGCTTCATTTATTAGCCATTGAGTCTTAAAACATGTTATCTTATCATTAAAGGACTTTCATACATTTGGTTCTACATAATTTGCCAGCCAACCTTATTGTCTACTGCTTTTGCTTAAAAATTCCATGCTAGAGCCAAACTTGTATAGTTTTTAATCTTTAAATAGTCCCTCCCTTTTACCAGATTTATCCATTCTTTTTTCATCTAACAATTTTTTGTTCACAGTTTAAACGTTTTTAGGTTTATATCACACATACAAAGTGACTGGCACTGTAGAAGTGTGTTGAATGAGTAAACCATAAATAATAATAGCAAATTATAAATACTATATAGTAAACTGTAAATAATAATAAATTACCATGGAAAAGAACTCATTTCCTATAGTCATTTTTTCTAAGATACAATTAAGAAATGCAGATTAAATACAAAATGGAAGATATTCATTTTTAATTGAATGACAGCCCTTTTAGAATAAGACATAATAGTATAATCTAAGAAAGTCATACCACAGGAACATGTGAATTTTTCTCTGAAAATTACCTCTGAGACAATTGATAAGCACCTATTGTTAGAGTGTTACTTTGATTTGAATCAATGCCACCTTCTTTAAAACCTTCTTTAAATCCATGGTGAGCTTTTTCAGAGCTTAGCTTGAAAATTTGTTAAAAGAAAAATATTTCACACCTTTTGAAATAATGATTTTATTAAGTCATCAACACAATAAGTTGTGAAATAAAGTGATTTTCAGTCTTCAAGTCAAACTCATCATTCCTGATCCAAATTGTACAAGAGTGTCTGGAGTATAGTTTTATTTATAATTGTTTGATGTCATTTTAAAGATAAGCCATATATTTGCAGGTAAAATTAGGTTAACAAAGCTATATGCAGGACTGAGTCAAGTGGGGCTTCTCTTCCACCATATCGACCTTTTTACTGCATCTTTTACATCCTTATTTCTCAGGCTATAAATAAGTGGGTTTAGCATGGGGATCACCAATGTATAAAACACAGCTGAGACCTTTTCCTGTTCCAGGGAATACTGAGAGCTTGGCTGGATGTAACTAAAAGAAACAGACCCATAGAATAAGGTCACAGTGGTCAGGTGGGAGGCACAAGTGGAGAAGGCTTTGTACCTTCCCTCAGCTGAACGAATTCTCCGGATGGCAATGATGATCCGGATATAAGACACCATAATGACAATGAAAGTGAACATTGCAATAAGCCCAGAGAAGACCAAGAGCAGCATTTCATTGATATGAGCATCAGAGCAAGAAAGCCTCAGAAGAGGAGGAATGTCACAGAAATAATGATTCACAATATTAGGACCACAGAAGTCTAATCTGAGCAAACCTATTGTGTGTGTCAGAGAATTAATGAGCCCACCCAAGTAAGATGCAAGGACCATCTGAATACAAACTGTTTGGGTCATAATGACTGTATACAACAAGGGATTAGCTATGGCCACATAACGATCATAAGCCATCATGGACAGGAGAATGCCCTCTGTGGTTACATATACTGCAAAAGAGAAACTCTGTAGAACACAGCCAGAAAATGTACTGGATTTATGTTTTGATAGGAAATTGGCTAGCATCTTAGGAGCAAAGACAGTAGAGTAGCAGATATCACAAAAGGAGAGGTTGCCAAGGAAGAAGTACATTGGAGTATGAAGTTGGACATTTAACCAGATTAAGATAATTATGCCCAAATTACCCAACAAAGTGATGAAATAAATAAGAGTGAAAAGCAAAAACAGTGGGATCTGCAAATTAGGATTTTCAGTTAATCCTACCAGGAGGAATTCCTTCACACCTGTATGATTCCAGCCTCTCATTTTTAATCAGGTATATATAGTTCCTTAGTTGCAGAACAAGACATGACCGTGATGGAAAAGAAATGATCCCTTCATCATCCAGTATCCAGAACAGCATGGGACATTTAGGGTTACCCTGTAGTTAAATAAAGAAAGAACGTTCACTTTAGAAGTGGCTCATATATGTGCTAGACTATATATAGTGATTCAAATTTTTGGTACTAGAGATTGTTTTATTCCTTGTTTTTAGTTCTCACATCATAAAAAGTCAGAGGGGGGATAAGAAAGCTCTTATATTTCACAACTATTAAAGGTAGAATTAACATTTAAATCCAGATGTGACTGGTACCAAATCTCAAGTACAATGAGTAGAATGTCCACTCATCCTGTGACATATATAAGCCTTCTGCTAATGTGGGTTACAAACAGGAGCATCCAGTGACAAATATTCCCTTGTTCTGTGACTAACCTGTCCCTATTCTTTTATACCTGTTTAAGCTCCTGAAAATGAGTTTCATCATACGCAGCACCATTTCTTTCCAAATCTCAACCTTAGACCTCTTTTTGCCTCACTTTCTGCCCTGATTGCCAACTTGAAAGAGCAATGATTGTGCCCTCCAGTAAAATTGAGTTGAGAGAAAAAGGCAAGCCATTCCTTTTATTTGATATTTAGTATTAAGGCTGATCGAAAACACCAGTGTTAACTCTACAACCTTTGCTTTTGCAGCTTTGTGTAACCTTGCTTTTGCATCTTTGATTTTTATCAGCATTGAAACAAACCTGAACAACCATTATAAAGAGTTGAGGTTCATTGTGAGGTACCAAAACTATATCTATTGTATGTTTCTTGTTTGCAAAATCATGGACTGCCACTTAGTTTCTCATGTTTTTGACATGATATGCTACAAATTCAATATTTATTTATTTATTATTTTTTGTCATTTTTAGTAGAGACAGAGTTTCACCATGTTGGCTGGGCTGATCTCCAACTCCTGACCTCAGGTGATCTGCCTGCCTTGGCCCACCAAAGTCCTGGGATTATAGGCATGAGCCACTGTGCCTGGCCTTATTATTATTATTTTTTAAGACAGAGTCTCACTCTGTCACCCAGGCTGGAGTGCAATGGTGTGATCTCAGCTCACTACAACCTCTGCCTTCTGGGTTCAAGTGATTCTCCTGCCTCAGTCTCCCGAGTAGCTGGGACTACAGGTGTTTGCCACCATGCACGGCTAATTTTTGTATTCTTAGTAGAGACAAGAGTTTCACCATGCCAGCCAGGCTGGTCTCAAACTCTTGACTTCGTGATCCACCTGCCTTGGCCTCCCAAAATCCTGGGATTACAGGCATGAGCCACTGCACCTGGCCAATTCAACATTTGTAATGAAGTATCAACAATTTAATTCATTCACATAAACATTCATGCATTCGATAAATATGTATTTCTACTCTGTGGCAAGAAATATTCTATTTGCTAGAGATAAAACAGTGAAAAAGACAAATGTCATGCCTTCAAGGAGCTCACATTCAGCTAAGAAAATAAACATATATTGATACATTGTATAAAATGATAAGAACTATGAAGAAAAATAAATAAGAAAAGGTGAATAGAAAGAGATGGTGTGTTACTCTATTACATAGTGTACACGTTTTCTATTGCTGCTATAACAAGTTACCCCCAAATCAGAGGCTTAAAACATAACGTATTATCTTACAGTTTGCAGGTCAGAAGCCAGAAATCAGTTTGCTGGGTCAAACTCAAGTTGTGTGTGGGGCCACACTTCTTCTGAAGGCTTTAGGAGAGACTCTGTTTTACTGCCTTTTCAGGCTGTATGAACAGCGCTATTTTGGCCCCTTCTATCTTCAAAGACAACAGCATAGCACTTTCATCAGTCATCACACTGCTTTCTTCTTCTATAGAAAAATCTCCCTTTGCCTCCCTCTCACATTTAGTATTTACCCATATAATCCCTGGTAATCTCCCGTCCTCAAAATCCTTGACTGACTCATCTCTGAAAAGTATTTTCTGTCATATAAGATAACATTCACAGGTATGGGATTAGGATTTGAATAGGGGCCACCATTTAGTCTACCACATATAGGTTGTTCAAAAAAAAAAAAAAAAAAACTAAGATGAAATCTGAACAGAAAGCTGATGTAAGTGGTTTGACTAAATATGTGGCTATCTACAGAAAGACTTTTCCAGGAAGATGGCACAGCAAGTTCAAAATCCTGAGGTGGGATTGTGTTGAACAAGAAACTTCAGGAAATTGACTGAACTGCAGAGAACAAGATGGAGAGTGGCCAGTGGGGAATAAGAAATGCTGTATTTATCACACCTTGCCTTGTTTGAGGTTTGGATGCTTTCTCAGTGAGATGGGAAGTTGCTTTGCATATATACCCCATTATATAGGGTACAAGTGTGTAATAGGATCCACATATCCACATATTTGAGATGTATATACATATATATATATATATATATATATTTTTTTTTTTTTTTGAGTCAGAGTCTCACTCTGTTACCCAGGCAGGAGTGCAGTGGCGTGATCTCGGCTCACTGCAACCTCCACCTCCCAGGTTCAAGCAATTCTTCTGCCTCAGCCTCCCAAGTAGCTGGGATTATAGGCACTCACCACCATGCCCAGCTAATTTTGTGTATTTTTAGTAGAGACGGGGTTTCACCATGTTAGCCAGGCTGGTCTCGAACTCCTGACCTCAGGTGATCCACCCATCTTGGCCTCCCAAAGTGCTGGGATTACAGGCGTGAGCCACCACACCCTGCCTGAGTTATATTTTTACACGCTCTGAAAATAAATCTCAGCAAGGCAAGAGCAGAAGCAGGGAGGCTATTTAGGAGGCTACTTCAGTTATCCACTAGAGAGAGATAACTATGCCTTACATTGAGGTGGCAGTAGGAAAAACTATAAAGTGACTCTATTCCATAACCATTTTGGGGTAGTAACCAAAAAGATGGAGAGTTGAACATGAAATAAAATATTGTTCTAAGGGCGTGTGTGTGTGTGTGTGTGTGTGTGTGTGTGTTTCAAATGAAGTTGTTATTTTTCAAGATATGGAAGACATGAGAGAATGTATTTGGCAAAACTTTTTAAAATGAGATCTATTTCTTGGGAATTATACAGATTGGTTTGGAATTTGGTATTTCATTGTAAGCTATAAAAATCTTGAACTTGAAAAGATACAAATTTGGAGATAATCTAATAAGATAAGTATCATGACAAAATCTGGATCTTTGCTTAAAAATGTGAAATCACTTCATGGTAATTTATTTTTAATTCATGACTCCAAAGGAACACTTAAAAATATGCAATCATCATTGATCTATAAAACAATTGGAGATAAGGTTGGTGAGAGAAATCACAAAATTAAAAGCATTTTTTATTATATTAAAAAGGGAATCCAGCCAAAAGCCTATCAAATGATTTAAAGATTTTCAAAATAAAACTGTACTATAATTTTGTTAACCAAACCTGAAATAGCTCACTGTATGCTTTCAAGGAGGTTGACTCATAAAATATGATTTTGATGATGTAATATTTATAGATGAATTTATTATAAATAGTGCATATAAATATTCCATGTACTGTTAATTTTATTATAGAATATTATATAGAAATGTATATTTACCTGATTAAACATTATATGAAACATATATTACTTATGTAAATTCATGATATACATTCTTAAGGATATACATGCACTTATACTTTTAAAATAGTATATAGTGAATGATTTATGTATAAAAACTGTTTATAAGACAAAAATGGCCAAAAGTCGAATATGTAAAATAAATAAAAATTTGACAAACAGCAATAACAAAAGTGTAGAATCGCATCATCAAAAAATGGTCTTTTTGAAGTCTATTTTATGCAGGCACTCTAAAATTGTGGTGGAAAGAATGAACAATTTGTTATAGTTTAAAAAGTCCTGGGCTCCGGGAATAAAGTATCTGTGCAGATGTCCTGGTTTTGTTAAACACAAGAAGTAGTGAAAAATAATCAGAGAAAATATAAAGTAGTTCTTACAATGTTACATTGCTATCTTAAAATTACATCTGATTTCCAAAGACTATTGTGTATAAAATGGGGAAGACATTCTTTTCCTTGTCATGTAGTTAACACGCATTGAAATTCGATTATATTATATTGTTACACATTATATTATTATACTATATATTATTATATAATATATTATAATAATTATATATAATAATTATATAATATTATATATTATATATTATAATATATAATTATGTTATTATATTGCTATACATTTTTTATAACTCCCATTATCCCAAAGCAGTTTAGACACATAATACAATGTAGGGAATTCCCATATGTTTCACATGATTTATTGATTTTTACATAAGATTGATTATTTGTGTGCTTGGATGCTATTAAGTTCTGTTGTCAGAATTGTAACAGAAAAGCAGAGTGTTATATGCAAATAAATAAAATAATAAAGTTAAATTGCACAAGTAGCTCTAGGGTACTATATAAATCAAGTATTAAACACCATAAACATGCACACACATGAAAATATTGGTTATAGGTATTATGTAAATATTGCCCTTTTTCATGAAATGAGAAGACCATTGAAAAATAAATAAACTACAGTTTAAGAAATTGTTTTCTGGCTGTTCAGAAGCAATGCTAAGATCATACAGTCAGTAACAGATGATTCTAACGTGAGGAGGTAACAGGGAATAACAGAAGTGTGAAAGAAACTTACACTATCACTTCCTAAACACACTCACAACTAAGAGGAGTCCACAGATTATTCTAGCATGAGGAAGTAACAGGGAATAACAGAAGTGTAAAAGAAACTTACACTACCACTTCCTAAACATACTCACAAATAAGAGGAGTCCAAATTAAGCAGAGTACCTAGTGCGGATAACCAGGATTTCATGATTGTTAAAGGACTTATTGTTGGGAATAGAGACTTTTTATGTGTAGCTTCTTTTCACTGGGGACACAGGCTGCAGCTTATTG